GATATTCTTGTAAAGGACAAAAAGTTGCAGTATTCTGTCCAAGAAATAATCTACAGACACAAACAGTAACACCACAAATAAAAGAAAAAGATCCCGGAAAGTGCCTCTCTCAGCTGGTGCCCCTGGGTTTCAGCTTTATCTTGCTGTGCATACCAAGGTGAAGACAATGTTTCTCAGGGGTTGTTAGTGGGCAGAGTTCCTCAATAACCCTCCCCTCGGGCAATGCTCAAAGGGTACTCCCAGACAGCAACTTAGATTGATGAATTTTTCATGTGGAGTTTGGGACTTAGTCTCTGGCGAGTGCATCCATACTGTAAAGAATTATCTATTTTGATTCTCATAAAAAGATTTTCCTTCAAACAAGGAATACATGTCTGTGATATAAACTGTATGTGGACTTTGAATAGACAGCCATACTCTAGATTACAAAAGCAAGTGCAGGCTACACCAGTCATTATAGACCACAAACCCATGCCAATATCACTCCCACATCACTTCCAGGCTTTCCAGATACAAGCAATGCAGTGTTATTTCCAGATTTTGAAAACAATGCCACTTTTGATACCATCACTGTTAAGTTTCAAATTTAAAGCACAAATTTACTGATTCTTTAATCTACAGTGATTGCAAAACCACAAGGAAATGTACTGTCATGATCCTCACAGGCAACACCCTGAAAAAAAGCTTCCCTAACCATGTCCTGTGATCAAACAGGGGAAAAGCTGTCAGAGAAAACTCTGCTGCAAATATAAACTGCGTTTATTTTGTCCTTTTTTGCCACCTTCAGTTAAACTGCCTTAAAAATTCAAAGGCTGTTTGAAGCCATTTATATATTTTACTCTTTGTCGTGGGTGAGCATAGGAGACAGAAACTGAAAGTCCAGTGTTAAAAATCTCCCCTGCCATGGGCCTCAGCCCTCAGCTCAACTAGTCTTGCTCAGACATTTCTTCTACCTCTTTCTCTTCTTCAACCCCTTCTCAAGTCCATTTCCAGTTCGCCATCTCCTGGCTGTCCTTTAATTACGACTCCGAACACTGCTATTACTGTTACTCCTCAGCACTTGCTGTCAGCTCCTTTTTTTTTTTTCTTTCTTTCTTTCTTTTCTTTTTTTTAAAGTACACTTTTTAGTCCAGCTAAGTGTGGTTGAGTTTTTGTAATCCTACTGCTCTTTACTCTGATAATTACCCTCTTCTAACAATGTCTCCAAAAACATGTAGGCAAAATTTCCTTCAGCTGCCTTGTCACAGTTATATCTGAGTCCATAGCTCAAACGTTATCAACTCTGACTGACTTCATGGGCAGACCTAGTCTTGCCCAGCCTCAAGCTGCAATACTTGTACTGGAACTGTCTTCATCTCTCTAACAGATTGCCCTGTCTATAATGAATATTGCTCAGACTGTGAAAGCAACTTGCTCACTTGCCATGTTCACTATGAATTCAGTGTCAGTACAATGCTATACTATTCCCCCAGGAGGATGCCATAAGTCCACCAAGAATGCCAAAATTTCTTTCTGTAGACATGACCTCCTCTATGATGTCTATATTGGCAGAGAAGCCTGCCCTGTCCGACATTATCAACCCCTCCCCCATCAATGTCAATGTTGGTGTGTTGGCCACCCTGCCAAGCACTGCCACTCCACAGCCAACTGCCCTTTATGTGCACTGCCTATTCATGATCACATAAACTGCTTTGCACAAACACATATATTTCAATTATGGTGGCTCCCATAATGTATTTTATAGGGGCTTCCCTACCTGTAAGTTTGAATCTAAGGTGGCAGTTCTCAGATTCAAAACTGGCCTCACCTCTTTGCAAGGCCAAACAGGAAGCACAACAAAAAGATTTTTCTCTTGCTCCGTCCACCAGTGCTGTTCTTTGCTCTGCCCCTAACCCCTCCTCCCAAGATGTTTCTACATCTCCTTCAGTATCTCTCCCCCCTACTCAATTTGTTTCCACTTCTACCCTCTCTCTCTCAAATTCTTTAGCCATTCTATATCTAGACACTGAAGAACCCTGATCTAACTGTTCCACCCCATCATACATAACCTCCTTTTGATTTACTCACCCTTACATGTCCAAGAGATGCCTATGGTAGATGCTAGCAACACATTACAGATTGACAGCAGTAGTTAATTATAATGTATGACTTTGTAAAATGACCCTAGAAAATATATCACCCCTACCTTGGTCTTTTCTTCTCCTCTTTCCTCTTCCATATCTTCTTCATCCCCTTCTTCTATCCCATTCCCAAGGTGTGAGAACCATGCTGAAAGGATGAAAGGCTGGCTTTGTGTCAGTCATGAACAACCTCCAGGAGTCATGGGTGTTCCTTGGTCAGTTGCCTAGCCCTTACCCCTTATGGGGGCCCTGAGGGATAGACCCTTTCTTTTCCCCATTTCCCTCCCAAAACCTAGCATGTCGTCATGGGAGGGCTTAGGAGACGAGGACTGAGACCCAGTGTAGGGGATCACTCTTATCTTGGGCCTCAGCCCTTGCCTCAACTAATTTTGCTTGGTCCTTTCTTCTCTTCTTTCCTCTTCCAAATCTTCTTTATTCCCTTCTTCTATCCCATTCCTAAGATGTGATAGCTGTGCTGAAAGGATGAAAGATTGGCTTTGTGTCAGTCATGAACGGCCTCTGGGAGCCATGGGCACGGTATTCCCTTGGTTAATTACCAAGCCCTTACCCCTTATGTGGACCCTGAGGGGTAGACCGTTTCTTTTCCCCAGTTTATTCAGGCTCACCATGATTTTGATGGTTTTCCACCCCTGTCCCTCCTTTGACCACAGCTCCAACCACTGATACTAATACCCCTTCCTCGATGCTTACTGACAACTCTATCCATTCCAAAACGCCTACCCAGGTTATTACTCAACCTCTAGAAAGCACCCCTTCCTCTTCCCCAACATTCTCCTCCTCATCTCCTGCTTCACAGTCCTCTTCAATATCTACCCCCTCTTCCCTTATTACTACTCTTCATCCTTATTGTCCTCCCCCTGCAGAACTACTCCACCTCACACCACCCCATCTTCCTCTCACCCTCACCCTTCTACTGCCTTCTGAATACTCTGTTTGGCCAAGCCAAGTGAGATCGATTCTTTTATGATTTCCCCCCTAGTCCCCTATTCTGAGAATACTTTTCTCTTTCCCTTCCAAGTGCCAATAGAAACAAGTAGGCAAGGTTACCTTTTGCAGTCACTCCAATAGTTCACACCGAGTCACAGTTACATCTGAATCCCAAGCTCATGCACTCTCTACCCTAACTGACTTCACTGGTAAACCTATTCTTATCAAACCTCACCCCTCTCTTAATACTTGTACTTGAACTGTTTCTATCCCCCCAAATGCTTGTCCTATCTACAACAAGGACTGGTCAGACTGTAAAAATGACCTACTTACCTGCCTTGCTGATTATGATACAGTGGCAATACAGTATTACACTATTCCTCCTAGAGGACAGTGTAAGTCCCATGTTAATATTGCCAAGATTAGCTTCAGAAGACATGACCTCCCCCATGAAGTTTATATTAGTGGATTGTCCTACCATGTCCGACCATATCGACCCTTACCTTGTCAATGTCAGAAATGTTAGCATTTTGGCCACACAGCCAAACACTGTTGCTCCACATAATGTGTTTTATAGGAGCTGCCCTGCCTATAAGCTTGAATGTGAGGTAGCAGTCCTCAGATTCAAACTAGGCTTCACTCGTGTGAGGCCAGACAAGAAGCACGACAACAATGTTTTTCTCTCTCAACTTATTCCAAAACAGCCCTTCACTCTGCTTCCCCACCATCTTCACAAGATGTTTCTTTATCTCCCCAAGTATCTCTTCCCAATACCCTAAACCATCCTACTTCCACTCACTTTATCCCCCAGTCAAATTCATTTTCCAGTCTAAATCTAGATACACTTATCTCTACCACTTCCCTAATACCTACCCCTCCTCCTCACTATTTGTTGTTCAGGCAACCTAACCGTTCCACTTCACTCTCTTCTACTAGGTCTTCTCCTACACCTTCCTCTTCAGTTCCTCAGATATCTATCGCCTCTTCTCCTCCTCATTGTTTTTCAGTCCTCTTCACCCAACTATCCTCCAGAAACCCTTGAAGACATCCAAAATTTCCTAAAGATAATCCAAGGGGACACTCAGCTCCTTTATCCATCCACCCAATCCATCTGTTCCTATTTTGCCTTCATATAAAGTATTTGCAGATATCCATCATCCTCCTCCTCAAGGTCCCTCTACCCCCCTTCCTCCTACACCCTCCCAGCATACACCACCCTCTCTACTGCTCCCACTTGAATACTCACATGAATCCCCTCTATCACAACAGTGTCCTGCTCCAGACCCCTCCCCTCCAGACACTCTTCCTTATACTTCACCACCTTCACCAGTCCCCATATCATCCCCAGATTATTATTCTCCTACTTCTCCACCAGCCATCTCGGTTTTCCTTGAACAATGTCTCTTTCTTCACCAGTCACAGATTTCCTTGAACAATGTCTATTCCTTCACCAGTTGCAGATACAATGCAATTCACTCAATTGCTCTTTCCCATTTTACTAATCCATGCTCAAACTCATTTATTTCCCTCTTTTCCCTTTTTGCTACCATACTTCCCTATAACACTCTCTAATCTTTAACAGCTAACACACACCCCTTTCCCTGGATTCTTCTCCTTTTCCAACAGCCATCTCTATTTTCCTTGAACATTATTCCTATACCTTCCCCAGTGACAGATACACTGTAATTCATTCAATCACCCTACCCACTTAACCCTCCTCTTTCTACTAATCTCTGCTCTAGTTCACTTACTCCCCTCTTTTCCCTTTTCACTATCATATTAACCTATAATGCTCTCTAATATTTGACATTAGCACATTTTATCCTAATCTTTAACTCCTCTCTACCCTTTCTGACACAGTACATTACCATAGTACTATATGACCTTTGATGTCTAGCACATTTATTTGTTTCAAACATTAAGCATTAAACATTCAGATTGAAACTGCTGCACAGGCTTGACCAGGTTTTTCTCTTTTTTCTTGTCAGGTGGAATGCTAATTGCTTCTAAAGTTTGTGGAGAAATACCAAAGGCATTATCCATAATTTCTGCTGCAATGATGCATATAAAGTGTAGAGGAGGATTTTATCCACGAACTGATGATAAGGTATGTAAGTTATGTTCTGTAGGCTACCTAGATATGTTATATACCTAACAGTTGCCGTAAACAGTTATTGCTTCCTTCAGCCAAGTGCAGACTGGAGAGGGAATATAATAAAGAATGTAATTATGAATTTCATAACTTTTTATTAGTAGAACAATTATATACTATGATCATTGTTGGTATATTATTTATTGTGATTATTGATTATTATTGTTATTATTGTTGTTGCTATTAGTAGTAGTATCAATAGTGTTGTTATTATTAATCTTAGTTATTTTTCACATTTACTATTATAATTATTGCATTAATTACTATTACTGTTAGGTGCAGATTTTCCATTTGTAGTAACAACTTTCATACTAAGATCAAATCATCACATACTGTTATATTTGTATAGGTTCCCCGTTCTGAAGTGCCTGATAACAAGGTCAGCTGGACAGTCCCCTTTCCTGAATATGCACCAACCGAATATACAGCACCACACATTTTAGCCGGACCAGCTTATGCAGACCCAAACATAGGGTAAGTCAAGTCAGTTTCTGTTTTTGTTTTGTGGTAATAAAATTTGTTGCTTTTAAAACATTTTTTTTCTTTCTTTCTTTTCCACAGAAGTGATGGTTTCAGACCTGTGTGGAATGCAGTAGATGGGTCTATCAATAGGGTTTCTCATGAAGGAGTATATGAATTTGACAACGGCAGACCAAGGTAGTGGTTGTTTGTCTTTTTCAGTAAGATTGTTTATATTTTCATGATTATTAAAAGTACTATAACCTGGATTTGATATAGCAAGAAATTCAATGAAGAAAATGCAATTCTTGTTCTCAGGAACCCACATGGTCGCACAGGAATCAGAGGACGTGGGGCCCTTGGTCGCTGGGGACCAAATCATGCCGCAGACCCTATTGTCACCCGGTGGAAAATGGATGCTGGCCAGAAGGTTATTCATGGTAGGTACAGGAAGATGTAATCATGAAAGGTTTTAACTTTGTGTGGAGACGTAATTTCTAAGAAATCCATGAACAATACTTATTATGCTTAGTTTTAATACCTATGCATTCCTAGAGTAGCCTATAACTGCTAGTTTTCTCTCATCCAGATGCAGTTCCCTGCTTGCTGTAAAGGGGTTAACAAACTAATGCATCTATTTACCCCTCCCCACAATGACCACACTATTTATTGAAGCAGCGGAGTCTAGCTTATAGGCCATCAGTGGGTATGTTGCAGTTACCACAGTGTTAATGCATCATCTTGCCCCCAAAGATGCATAAGTCCTATTTTTATTTGCTGTGATGCTAGCAGTGTTTCTACATGCTCCTACAATATTGTTGAAAGTGCAAACTGTATCTCCCAATGAAATAATGCACATTTTTCTTGCTTTTTGGTGTGATTTTTATTTTTGCCTGCCCCAAAATATCTTGCATTAACCCTGTAGGTGTCTATGAAAAATGAAAATTATACACATAAAAAATATAGTCAATTAAATTTTCAGTATTGTAAAATATTTTTGAAATAGTCTAATCAGCCCCAAAAGAGCAACCTTTGGAGAAAAACAAAGCAGTTTCTGTACTTTATTGGCTTTTTTTCCTTGATAATGCTAGGATTGCAGACAGGCATGCAATTTGTATGAAAAAATGGTCCTGTGGTCTTTTGACATTTATATGTTGAAAAAGCAATTCTTTAAAAATAATAATTTTGAAAATTCTTGTAGAGTACATTCTATATGCATTATTTTGAACACTGAAAAATAGTTTTGCCATAAAGAAGAGTAATTTCTGTCAGGTCCGTCTTATTTCAGCCATTATCCTTCTCAAAGATCACATTTACTACAGGTTTTCAGTGTAACTAGCATGATGTGATGAAAAGAGATGCTATAATTACCCAGAAAGGGGTTAATTACATACAGTGATGTATATACTCAGCATTTTTTAAGCTTTTGTAGATCTTTATAGTAATTTTGGTAGCATGTAAAACTGTACTTTTAAGATTGTTATCATTCAGGGGAAAAAAAATATTTGACTACATCTAGCTATCTGTAAATAGATGGATAGATAGATTTAGATACAGATTAGATATGTTTAGGTATCCACCATAATTATATGTATTTGTATATAAATGTGTATACATTTATTTATAAATAGAACTGGAGATGCAGTTGTGTATTGAGAATTAAGATTAAATGGAATATAAAATAGGTCATAAGATTTTAATATAATCTATTTCTTTTGCAATGTTCATATTAATATTATCAATAATAATAATATTAATATTATCCCTCTTCTTTAGGAATACCTCATTTTGATAAATTCATATATCAGGGAGTTACAGGAGGTGTATTTACAAGCTCCGAACATTTATTCACTTCAGATGCAAGCAAAAATCCAATACTGCAGTTTGTTTGCATCAAACGTCGGGACAATGGCCAGTGGGCTATCCCAGGGGGAATGGTTGATCCTGGGGAGAAAGTCAGTGTTACTCTGCAGAGAGAATTCCAGGAGGAGGCTCTCAACTTCTTGGAGATGACATCAGAACAGAAGTCAAAAGCAACAGAGGAACTGAAGGAACTTTTCAATGGAGGTAAAAAGAGTTGTATTTTTCTGTGTGTGTGGGGGGTGTACTTTTATAAACTTTTTTAGCATACAATAAGAACTTAACTTCTTTCATATAGATAGTATACAACTGTATCTGACCCACATTTTAAAATATTATATTGGTATTTTTTGTGTCTGATCATTTAAATAGAATTAGGTTGACTGCATGATATAAAAGTTTGTCAGTACAATCCCTCTTGTCTCTGAGTTATAAATCATATCATTTTAGGTGAAGAGATTTATTCTGGATACGTGGACGATCCACGCAACACCGACAACGCCTGGATGGAGACAGTTGCATACAACTTTCATGACAGCAAACCTAATGCATTGCTTTACAAACTCCAGTTACATGCTGGTGATGATGCCCAAGCTGTGAAGTGGCAAGACATTTCACACAAATTAGATCTGTATGCAAGCCACAGAAACTTCATTGAAACTGTGGCCAAGAAACACGGGGCTCATTGGTAGACTGCAGTCTCTGAGGATGTGATGGAGAGTTTGCGTAAAATATCTGGATAATAAAGAATTATTCATTAGTTCCACTTGCTGCCATTCATTAGAGGATATACACACTTTTAAGTTGCAGATAGTGTTGCCATGCAGGCATTTCCATGTAGTGTACACTTATATACCAATTTGGGTAAGGAAGAAAAGCACACTAGAAGTATTACTGATGTACTGTATGCATTTTTACAATTTGATTTTAAAGAAAAGATGGCATTTTGTAATATTTGCCATTAATTGCTATTTTTTCCAGATTACTAGATAGCACAAGTGGAAGTCTTGCTCACATTATTTTTTTATCACCTTTTTTCATTGGATAAGAAATCCACTTCCTTGTCTGATATACAGTACAAAGATGATCATTTGTGCACAAGTAGTAAGGAATAAAAATAAACTGATTTATCATTATTAATATTATTATTATATCCTCATAGGGAATATAACGAGATTCTGAAGATTACATATCTTGTGCCTGTGAAGACAAAGCTACAATAAAAATATAAATTGTCCCTGGCTACAAAATGACTAAATATCCAAATCAGATGTTCCTAGAACACAGATAATGATAAGAACAGTCAAAAAATTATAATCAATTCTGAACTAGCACATTAACTTAAAAAAATGGAATGTTCAAGGCCCCATTTAAGACTGAACTAGACTGAACATACAAGACCCAACAATAAAATACTGGCTAAAATGTGTGTGTAGAATATTTACTGTCGGTCCTATCCCACTGGGTTAGAGCTGAAGTACTTTGTAAAAATATATATACACATGAGAATGTACCATTCAAAAAATAATAAAATGAAATATAAAAAAACTGTTTCAGTGAAAGCAACTAATAAAATTTCTGAACTTTCATTATTTCCCTCATATCTAATACAATATTTGATTGCACAATTTTAAGTTGTAACACATAAACTGCACTACATGTACAGTACAACCTAAATATACACAAAACATCTCTCCATCATCCAACTCCATATTTCAGTTGCCATGTGAAAATATACATACATTTCAGGTGTATGTATTATGGAGAATACCCACAAACCTTTGTTCACAAAGATGATATAAGAACGTTCATAATGCAAGTCCGAGAGTCTCAAGCAAACTCACAAGAACATAATCAGCAGAGGAGGACTTTTCCTAATCCTACTACGACTTGTGCTGCTTGTCCCCCTTTCATTCTTCTATTTATGCTATGTATGGTGAAAAAATATAGCTGTACAGAATATGAACTACAACTGGAAGGAGACAGGCTAAGGTATTATTAGAAGACTTGAGATTTCTTGATTTACTCATTCAAGCCACTGCAGCAAAGCTTATCCAAGCTAATATTTCACAAACTTGTGCTGCCCATGGCAAGATCTTAAATAATGATGATATAGTGGGGCTTACTATTTAAAGTACAAACAGAATACTACAGGAAAAGCATTCTAATCTCATTAATTTCAGATCTTATAGCTGCACTTTTAACATCATTACCTAAATACTATGTGAACTTTCATCTACGTCAAGAAGACTTAGACTTACGGATTTATAAATGAAGACGAATAAAGTAATAAACAAGACAAGTTTATCACAGAATTATTCATCTATGATAAATCGATAATAAAAAGAGGGGGAAGCCATCATTATACAATCAATACCATGATCACATTTTACACATGGATGCTACTACCTAATTCCTGTACTAATATTGAAAAGAAATTAAAGCTCTGAATATTGTGACTTTTTAAAAGAAGAATTACAAGTCCAAGCATATAGGTTACATGTAAGTCTGCATGCAGGCAGACAAAAAACGAACAACACAGTCAAACATATACAAGGGCACAGACACAACAGGATGTTTACACACACATGCAAAGTCACACATTTCCACATATGCAGAATCAAACACGCTGAATGTATAAAATACTTACATCTACGGCTATGACATCTAACAAGGTACACTAGCTTCTACTGACAATTTTGCCTTTTTCAGGATTATCCTTAAAATGGACACTAATGCTTCTATTGTAACCAACGCTAGAACACATGTAACTTTTGACAGCTGAAGAAAGGCACTGATCTCAACTCACATAACTTCAGCTTAAGTTTTTACATCCATATAAAGTATGATGAAAATAGAAGGAAAAGTAGTAGTAATAATGTGTGATGATTTCAATGAAAACTATTACAAAAAACAACAACCATAATAATAATCTAAAAGTTCATATTACACTTACAACTGGTATCAAAATAAAAATAAAAAATAGGAAGATGGTAGCAGTGAACATATTTAAGAACAATTATATTTTCCATCACAAAATGTTCTTGAAAGCTGTTTCCTGAATGATCAAACATGCGATATTATCATAAATTCAAACAAACATTTCTATAAAACATTATACCTCATATAAACAACTGTATTTATATAAAGATTCCTTTTAATACTGTAAGTGCATCTGCCCTCTTCTGATTACAATTGTCACTGATCAGTATAAGTTACATATATTTTACATTACAATTAAGGCTAAACACTTATCCTTTTAGTATATACCACAAGCATCAACTCTAGGCCTAGTTAGGAATAATACAGAAATAACTGGACTGCTTCCTTATCCAATTGCACTAACCTTTCACATACTGTATACCTAAATAATACATACTGCTCCTTTTCCTTGTGCATCACAACTTAGCAGATTTATACAAGGAAAGTAATACTTAAATCATGGACAGATCTATCCGCCTTAAATGCAGCGCCAAAATCCTTCAAGCGAATAATTCATGGGACTTGCAAAGTTTATAATTCCAAAATATCTTTTAACCTTACTACTTACTGCCACCTATGAATCTACTGTGACTGGAGGAAGGGAGGGAGGGAGGGAGGGAGGAGGAGGGAGGGAAGGAAAAGGAGGAAGGAGGGAGGGAAGGAGGAGGGAGGGAGGGGAGGGAGGGAGGAGGGAGGAGAGGGAGGGAGGGAGGAGGGAAGGATGGCAGGAAGGAAGGAAGGAAAGAGAAAGAAAGAAAGAGAAGAGGAGAGGGGGAGGGAGAGAGAGAAAAGAGGGGGGGAGGAGGAAGAGAGGGGGGAGGGAGGGAAGGAGGGAGGGAGGGGGAGGGAGGGCAGAGGGAGACAGAGGGGGGAGAAAGGGAGGGAGGGTGTGTGTGTGTGTGTGTGTGTGTGTGTGTGTGTGTGTGTGTGTGTGTGTGTGTGTGTGTGTGTGTGTGTGTGTGTGTGTGTGTTGTGTGTGTGTGTGTGTGTGCCCGTGTGTGTGTGTGTGGTGTGTGCCCGTGTGTTGTGTGTGTGTGTGTGTGTGTGCCCCGTGTGTGTGTGTGGTGTGTGTGTGTGTGTGTGTGTTGTGTGTGTGTGTGTGTGTGGTGTGTGTGTGTGTGTGTGTGTGCCCGTGTGTGTGTGTGTGTGTGTGTGTGCCCGTGTGTGTGTGTGTGTGTGTGTGTGTGTGTGTGTGTGTGTGTGTGTGTGTGTGTGTGTGTGTGTGTGTGTGTGTGTGTGTGTGTGTGTGTGTGTGTGTGTGTGTGTGTGTGTGTGTGTGTGTGTGTGTGTGTGTGTGTGTGTGTGTGTGTGTGTGTGTGTGTGTGTGTGTGTGTGTGTCGTGTGTGTGTGTGTGTGTGTGTGTGTTGTGTGTGTTGCCGTGTGGTGTGTGTGTGCTGTGTGTGTGTGTGTGTGTGTGCCCCGTGTGTTTGTGTGTGTGTGTGTGTGCCCGTGTGTGTGTGTGCGCCCATGTGTTGTGTGTGCGCCCGTGTGTGTGTGTGTGCGCCGTGTGTGTGTGGTGCACCCGTGTGTGTGTGTGTGTGTGTGCCCGTGTGTGTGTGTGTGTAGTTGTGTGCCCGTGTGTGTGTGCCCGTGTGTGTGTGCCGTGTGTGTGTGTGTGTGCCCGTGTGTGTGTGTGTGTGAGTGTGTGTTGTGTATGTGTGCCCGTGGCCTGTGTGTGTGGTGTGTGTGTGTGTGTGTGTGTGTGTGTGTGTGTGTGTGTGTGTGTGAGTGTGTGTGTGTGTGTGGCCTGTGTGTGTGCATAAGTGTGTGTGGGTGTGTGTGAGTGGTGGTGTATGATGTGAATGTGCTGTGTGTGAGTGTGAGTCAGTCAGTGAGTCAGTGAGTAAGTGAGTGAGTGAGAGTGAGTGAGAGTGAGAGTGAGTGTGTGAATGTACATGCATGGTTTGTGTGCCACACATTTATCTACATGATGTTTGATTATGTAATCATGTAATTTCAAATCCCTCACCACCATAGCCAAGAGGAATATATTTTCCAAGTTCACTAGCTTTATCCTAACAAAGAAAACAGGTAAAAATACCAACATCTTGGTAAGGGACAACCACCTCAAATGACAAAAAAAGAGTAACAGAATCTTGCACATCAAAAACTCTCTCCTAGTTAAGTGCTACTAAATACCCCTCTCAATATACTTTCACAAGATCAAGAAAGGGTACCATCCTTTCCACTCCTCTTTTCTTTCCCTGAGGCAAGACCTGTTGGAATAAAAGGGGGCTGGAATGTTCACTACAAATCAAAACAAAAATCTTCCAATTCACCCCTAAGATCGGCATTCTTATAAAAATTCCTTCTTTAATACTGGACTTTTTCTGCAATTATTTTCTAAAATAAACAACATCCCCCTACAGTTTCTCAGGCTAGTGGTTTATCATGACTGTATTTAGTAACTTACCCCTACAACATACACAGCCAAACGTGGAATAATCTTCCGACTGCAAGTCCTGCATCCCTACAGAAAACCTAATGTGCAAAGTAAGCACAAAAATCCTCTAAATTTCTTAAAAGGGTTAATCTTGAAATGGCACACCAAAAGGTATGCTATTTCCAAGCATTGGGTACACCTTTTCCAAGCATTCAGTAAAGTGTTTCAAGTAGACCTACATTTTTACCTTGCACAACCAAAGTTTACTGCCAAGAGCTATGAATACAGAACCTATTCATAAGAATCTTTAGCCTAACTTTACTATGTACCCACAAGTGGCTCTTGCCTTGGGCCTTGTGACCAGATCAGCACAAGCATATTGGTGTAATATAAATGGTCTACAGAGGCCTACAGCACAAATCAGAGAGAGCGAAAAGAATCAAGATAATGTCATAAATGTACTTCAAATAAGAATAAAAACATAAAAACAATCAAAATGATGACAAAAACATAACAAAAATAATGACAAAAGGTAACACTAAAATGAACAAAGTGTTTAAAATATTTAACAAGGACATTAACAACACTGTACCTCATTCATAAGAAATGCCAGTAGCTGCCCATACTGTCTTTTCTATATAAAAAGTCAACAGAAAAAAATGTAAGTGGCTCCTGATACTGTCTTTACATATAAAGCCAACAGAAAAAAGAAACATAAAATATGAACAGGTACCATATCACGGGGGACTTGAAATCCTAGACACTGGATATCAAGCATTCTTAATATCCTTGATGTCCTTTTCCTGAGGTTCATAGATAAGCTGAATGTTCAGTGTTGATAAATATTACTGTACAAAATATCTGGAAACATTATCCACAAACAGAAATACAGAAATATTAACTCTGAATTTACATACTGATGATCACCACTAGAACATCACCTTATCAATATTTTTTTTTCTTTTAATTTTTGATAACATATTTAGACACTAGGCTGCTACAAAGAACAATAGTGTGGTTTGTTTGTTAAAGTGCATATGAGCAACCACAAGCATTGTCAGAAAGGCTGCAGTTATGCAATTTGTTTTCTGCTCTGTAAGTTTTCTTCATCTTCTCTTTAATCTTTCTCTTCTTTTGCACAAACAATAATCACTAGCATAGCAAGTACACACGTCTGTCCATAGCTTGCCATCTCTGTTGTTTGTGGCAATTTAGTCCAAAAAACAGCGACAGGAACATTTGCCAGCCATAAACCTCAGCCACAGATATCAAATGACCAATACCAAGGATTTCAAGCACCATGTGATAATCCCTCACAACTTCAACATTCTGATCTACAAACTGCTTATAGCATCCAAATCTTATAACTAAAGAAAACTCTTTGATAGAAAAACCAGGCCTGGCTGTACAGAGAACAATGCATTATTTACAACTGCATTTACAGTTGGATGTGTCAAAGATTAATATACTGATTGGATGATTTTCATAGGGCAAATTAAATAGTTCTTACTTTTCAGGATGTATATATACATTCCTGTAAATATGCCTGCTAATTCCCAGCCCTACACTGTTTGCTGCTCTAAAGCTTACACATTTGCAATGTTCATGTTAAGAGTGATTCTGAAATTTCACCTTAGCTTATATTGCAAGTGTGTAAACCATGATATAAATTACTCTAATGATACTGATTTATAAATGAATGCAACGATCATGCATTCACAAACATTTTTAAAACTTTTTTTCCTTTTTTGATATTTCAAATACTTCTATACACCCTTTTACATTTACTCCAGCTTGTTTTTAACTGTGCCATGGAATCATGAAAAAAGTGAAAAGCCTGGCTACCAAAGAGGATAAAACTGATTTCATACTTTAATTATCATCTATGGAGGGCTAAGTACAAAAACTGCTGCCAACTGGTGACATAAGGAATGTATCACAAACACTAGTTACATCACGAAATATTCAACACAGTGCACTCTCTATGATCCATGAATCAACAATGACCACTTAAGTAACAATTGCACAATCGCTTTTTATTCTCAAAAACCCTAGCATGTTTTTAAGTTTGCTTAAGATGCTGAACTTTGTAATTTGGTTCCATATGATAGTCATTTGCTATAATGGACATCATACAATATTTTGCAAAGATAACTGATTACATTTTATTGTAATTTTATGAAACTAATTAAGTAACAAATATAAAAAAAATATATATACAATATCTGCTATTATGCTTTAGTCACATAAGCCTATCATTCATAGCGAGTCTTCTCATTATCTAGAAGTTACTACGTTCCTATAGGCTGTAACCTGAAAAATAAGTACCAAGTTATTTCTCTTTAACCTAGGAACTTTTAAGTATCTAACAGGATTTTAAAAACTTTTGGCACACTCTTCAGCAGACACTTCTGACAACTCTTTATCACATTAACTGGACATTTTTTACATTAACCTTCAAACTAAAAATAAAATTACTCCTTCAATAAAAAGAAACCAGAGAGTGCACTGTAATTAATTTGCAATCTGCTCCTCATTTTGCATTCTTAATTATCACCAAGCAAAAAGTTTTCAATCTATAAAAAAGAAAGAAAAAAAAAGCCTAAACATTCCTAGGAAAATGCTAAAAGCATTTATTGTGCTGCTAAATATCAAGAGAATCTTGAGCAATATAAACAAGAATCTGGTTTATATCTAGTGGAATGGACTGGAGATCATAGTTTATCAATTTCGTTAGTTATTTCTAAAAAACAAACATTAATTTTCAAAATTTGTGCTTTGAAAAACATGTGCATAACAATACTGCTTAATTGGCACACGTATCAATTAATTGGCCACAAGAATTCTGAACAACATTAATTTATCTAATCCCTAGAAATCAGCCACATGTTCAAGGATGTGAGTTCTGGCAAGACAGATGTTTGCTCACAGAGATTTGCTCATTTATGAATGGATGACAGTTATACCATTGAAGGAAGTATGTCATGGTCCTAATCAATAAATTCAAGATGGGGGGCATAATGCTCATACTGGAATGATGGATACAATGAGAAGAGAAGATGTGGTGTAACATCATCATTGAGTAGGCTTTGTAGGTTACCCTCCAGCTCTTGGAAAGTAGGTCGCTCATCACGGTCCATCTGCCAGCAATTCAGCATCAATTGATAGAGCTCATCACCAACATACTGAGGCTGTGGCAGTCGCAGGCCTCGCATAACCCTGCCAGGAACCTCATCAGTCTTTACATCGGCATAGGGCGTTCCCCCCAGTGTGGCCACTTCCCACATCAAGCAACCGAAAGACCAAACATCACTTTTAGGAACAGACACCTTGGACCGGAGTGTTTCCTCAGCGTGCCAACGTTTATACTCAGGTACATACAAGTCATTGTGATAGTGGAGGAGTCCAAACCCAGTGACCTTTGGGCGTATGCTATCTATCAACACAACATTCCTAGCACAGAGCTGACCATGGGTAACCTTTAGTGAGGCAAGATGATTCATGCCTCGTGCAACACCAAGGAGGATTTCAAGAGCCTGTAAAATATGAAATATAGATAACAGTAATAGTAATAATGATGATAAATCTAGTAAAGATATCACGATTAATATATTGACAATAACATACACTCCCATAAATAAAATTCAATAACCATGAGCCAATAACAACTTAGCAAATTTAAAAAATATCAAAACCAAAATGCATAGAACAGGAAAATATATTTACCTGTCCCTCTGGAAGTGTGGAAAACCTGCGATTTTTCTCAGCATACACTGGGTAGTGCTGAACAGCTCGACTTCCAACAAGGTGTGATTTGAGCGTTGAAGTTTCATATTCAAAGGCCACAGAAATAACATTAAACTCCTCCATGAGACCAACAAGGGAGATGATATGTGGGTTCTTGCTGATGCGCACATGGGCATCAAACTCCCGGAGCATCTGGGTCTTTGAGTTCTTGTCCAAGTTGTCATCCGCTATTCTGTGAACTAACACATTTGCCTGGTTTCCCTTGTTAACCACAATACCCTGTAAAATGCAAAGAATGAGCTTTTCTGCATATGTACAGATGTTCACGAAACAGCTTATCATGTAGTCCTTTCAAAATAAAGGACAAAATAATGCCTGTCATACAAGTGAAACTATAAATTATATTTGCTTTCTAAAGGTGAGGCTAAGATGTACCTGAAATAGTATATTGGTAAGATTGGTTGAATGCTTTGTAGCACTGCTGTATTTCAAATAATCATCACAATCCTGTCAGTTAAGAAATCTTCACTACGTTAGTCTTTTATCACTTAACATCAACTTACAAGTATATCTTAACCTTAGTAAAAAAAAAAAAAAAAAAAAAAAAAAAAAAAAAAAAAAAAAAAAAAAAAAGTGTACATTACACTATCATATTCTGTAATATCAAACACATAAGAACTGAGCTGAGAAAATACTGACACTGATAAGTCTAGCTAAATACTAAGCATAAAATACAAGTATTTACAAGTTCTTTACTCACCTTTCTTACATCCCCAAACTTGCCAGTCCCAATATCCCCAACGATGTTAAGCCCTTGATGGGGAATAATCCAAACTCGTTCCTTCAGCTGGCGATAATGGTCAAGTGTTGGAGCTTCCTCGTCCACGTAGTGCGCACCCACTGAATAACCATTCTCACAGTCTTCATTGGGCTCCTGTTCATGGACAGCCAACTCCTGGTTCTCTGCCGACCGCATCCGATTTTTCTTCACCACAACCCTCAAAACTACATACAAGATAATGGAAGCCACAAGGAGGAACCCACACAAACCAATTGCAATTGACAACCCTAACACAGTCTTTTGGCTCCTGGCTAACTGCTCATTTGTTTGAGTTATCATCTTGGTTTCCATGGTATCACTTTCATAATCAAAGACCGTGCTTTCATGCTGCTCGTGATTAGACATAGAATAAGCAGCCTTTGTTTCATTTATGGTGCTCAAGACTCCAAGTAAAATGTGGTAATCAATATCTGGTTTTAGTGGTGCATTGTAATACTTCCCATACATCTTTCTGTCTCCAACTTTGAAGGTTCTCATAAAATTATCAGAAGAAAATTCAGCTGTAATATAGAATGGTATGCTGTTATTCATAGCCGAGTAGTAATCTGTTAGCAAATGAGGCTGAAGTTGTACATGAACAGTTTCATCCACTACCACTACTTGGTAGGCAGATATTGGACCATTTGTTGGTGGTACTGACTGCAGCTCAACAGTTCTTGTTGAGGAGGTCTGGCTTATTATCTGAGGCATTGGGGGTGTTTCTGGCTTTCCCACTTTAGTCCACATTTCCAGAGACTTGGGATAGCCAAGGCCTGATTCAGACACAGCTCTCACTTCAACTAGATACTTGGTGCCAGGTTGGACTTCACGCAGCCAAGCAGTTTTGATAAGAGGAGAAAATTCCCACTGCAGTGATCTGGGAGGGTCATTTTCACTATATGTATACACTGGAGCTGCACTAACACGGTAGTGTAGAATATCCGACAGGCCTCCTTTTGGTGGCTCCCAGTTTATATGTAAGCTAGTGGATTCACTGTCAACTTGTGTAAGAGATTTGGGAGCACTTAAAATACCCTTGCCAGCCTCATAAATGCTCATGGCTCCTGGCCCACCACATATTTGAGTTGCATTTGCTGAACAAGGAGAAGTACACTGGTTTATTGTAGTACCGTGTATTCCATCACCACAATAACAGCTTTTTGCCTCAAACAATGCTGCATATCGCATAAATTTCTTTTGACATTCTTCAACACATGCATCCACGCTGGTGCCACTTATTTCAGCAGGAGCCCGAAACATATTATCACGACTCTTTTCATCCCCAGTAAAGCAGCCTACAGGATACAAGTCCTCGGCTGCTGAGATTAAACAGCAGAAAGCCAGAGCTGCTGCCAGGTAGAACACCGCACCCATCTGGAAAGGGAAGAAAGATTTGATTCTATAATCACAAGAGAATGAATGTAATACTGTTAGGTTGATTTTGTGGAGAACAGTGGGAGAAAGAGCTGGAGGTGGAGGTGGAGGAAGAAGTAGGAGGTGGAGAAGAAAGGAAGAAGTAGGAGGTGGAAGAAGAAGTAGGAAGTGGAAGAAGAAGTGGAGGAAGAAGTAGGAGGAGGTGGAGGAAGAAGTAGTAGGAGGAGGTGGAAGAAGTAGGAGGAGGTGGAGGAAGAAGTAGGAGGAGGTGGAGGAAGAAGTAGGGGAGGTGGAGGAAGAGAAGGAGGAGGAGGAAGAAGTAGGAGAGGAGAGGAAGAGAGGAGGAGGAGGAGAAGAGGAGGAGGAGGAGGAGGAGGAGGAGGAGGAGGAGGAGGAGGAGGAGGAGGGAGGAGGAGGAGGAGGAGGGAGAGAGGAGGAGGAGGAGGAGGAGGAGGAGGAGGAGGAGGAGGAGGAGGAGGAGAGGAGAAGGAAGAGACAAAGGAAAATGAAAATTATGAAAAGGAAGAGCAGAAGCAAGAGGCAGAAAAGGAGGATAATCATCATCCTCATCATTATCCTTATTAGCAACAATAATAATACTGATGATAATGACCATAACTAAGATTAAAATGATAATGATAAAGATGATGACAATGACGGTGGTGGTGATGGTGATAGCAATAACATTAATAATACCAATAATAATATCAATCATAATCATTCATATTACAATAACATTCATAATAACTACAACAATAATAATAACATGAATGATGATAACAACAATCAATTAATTAGTAATAATAATAAAATATAATGATAATAATAATAATAATGATGATAATAATATTAACAACAACAACAACAATAATAATAACAACAATAAATATAACAACAAAAAATAATAACAATAACAGTAACAATAATCATCATCATCATCATCATCATCATCATCATCATCATCATCATCATCATCATCATCATCATCATCATCATCATCATCATCATCATCATAATAATAATAATAATAATAATAATAATAATAATAATAATAAATATAACAACAAAACAACAACAAAAAAACAACAATAGTAATATAACAATAACAATAACAATAAAAACAACAACAACAATAATAATAGTAATAAAATAATAATAATGATAATAATAAAATAATTACAACAACAACAACAATAATAATAATAATAATAACAATAACAATAATGATAATAATAAAATACTAGTACTACTAGTACTGCTACTACTACTACTAATAATAATAATAATAACAATAACAACAATAATAATAATAAAATAAGAATAATAATAAAACAATAATAATAATAATGAAATAATAACAATAATAACAACTACAACAATAATAATATAATGATAAAAAAAAAATAATAATAATAATAATAAAAATAATAATAATAACATATAACAACACAAACTATTACCATTATAATTATTACAATCACTATCATTATCATTACTATTATCATTAATATTATTATTAATATTGTTATATTATTAATATTACTTTTATAATAGTGTCAATATTATCATTATCAATATTATCACTTTCATCACCATCATTATTGTTATTATCCTTTTTATCATTTTCATCATCATCACTATTATCATTAATATTATTATCATTATCCTTTATATTATTATTATCATTATCCTTTATATTATTATTATCATTATCCTTTATATTATTATTATCATTATCATCATAAATGATAATAATAATAATAATAATAATATATAAAATAATAATGATAATGTTAATAATGTTAATAATAATAATAATAATGTAATAATAATAATAATAATAATAATAATAATAATAATAATAATAATAATAATAATAATAATAATAATAATAATAATAATAATAATAATAATAATAATAACAAACAACAACAACAACAACAACAACAACAATGATAATTATTATAATAATAACAATAATAATAATAATTATTATTATTATTATTATTATAATATCAATAATAATAATAACAACAACAATAACAATATCAATAATAATGTTAATAATAATATCAATAATAATGTTAATAATATTGATATAAAAAACAATAATAACAATAACAATAATAGTAATAATAACAATTACCATCATAACAACAACAATAGTAGTAAGTTGTAGTAAGTAGTAGTAGTAAGAAGACGTAGTAAGAAGATGAAGAAGTAGTATTGATAATAGTAGTATTAGCATCAGCATCAGCAGCAGCAGCAGCAGCAGCAGTAGTAGTGGTAAGTATTAGTACACTGCCATTGAGTAAAGCACAGATATATACATCTACTAACTTTCTTTCTTGCTATGTACACTTAAAACAAGCCCTAACTTGCTTTACTTTTTGTACTGAGATCTAAAAAGGCACTGTGATAATATCTGTGAAATTAGTATTATCATGCCTGAGTATAGAATTAGAAGGTAAGTCCATGTTTGAGATCCCCGACAAAATACTCTGAGTTCTACCCTGGATTGTGACACAAGTTTGGAATATTATGTCAAACTTGTACACAGAAAATGGTTCTCATATTTTGCAATATACATATATCTTGTGCATTCTAGTTAATCCAGTCAATGCCTCTTCCTTCACAAAGAAATAAAAAAAATAAATCATATCTAAAAATAGTGTACATCAAAATAATCCCAAAAAGGGTAATTTTACGGAATACCTTCATATAATTGATTGCAATGTCTTTGGTATGGAGGAATTTCTCTCACTCTACTAATCAAATATATTTTAATAATGCTGTGGAACTCCGCAGTACTAACAATCTTGGCCCAATAGCAGAGCACCAGGGAAATTATGAGGCAAATTATGAATAATATAGAGAGAACTGGTCAAGCCCCTCATCCTAAACAACAAAGAATCCATCATGTGTGCATGGAAGGAGAGAGTGTAGGCCAGACCGCTTCTGGCAATCCTGCATGTCGGTCTTCCATTGTGGGGGTTGGTAAGTGGCACCTCCCTGAGAAGGGGGTTGAATGGGGCACATCCCCCTGCATTAGACACTATAGTGACTGATTCTGTGTATTATTCATAACTAACCCCATTTCACTGGTATCTTTCATGCCCTCCTCTGTTACTGGAGCTAAGATTGTCGCTAATGGGGGGGAGGGGGCCCAAGGCCTAATCCTAATATATTTGGATGGTAGAGAGTGTCAACAAACGAGATATTCAGACAAATAAGTGTAATAAGTACATAAATAGGCCTACATCCTAATACACACCATGCCACCACTGAACCACTTCACCAAAGGAAGCTAAGTTATAAAACACAGGAAAGTCAAAAACTTACGACAAACTCAACCTGACGTGACAATTTATTACCAAAATTTCCAAAACAAAGAATCAAGAGGAAGTTATGAGTCACCTGTTCAACTGACTGCAATTCTAAGTAGCAATGTTTACGTCCAAGTATCATATCATATCCCCATTTTCCTTCTCAAAACTACCCGTTAAAAAATAACTGTATTGTAAGAAAATGTTCTCCAATTGTCAAATTTACCTTTGTGGCGTTTAAAGCATCTCAGAGAACCTCCATGAGCGTGGGAAAATATTCCCAAAATACAAAACAACCACACCTGTCTCGTCCAAACACTCACTCTTACCAACTGTTCCGAATTTTCAGGAATTATTATGTTCCTAATGATCTTATTGCTCTTTATGACAATTTGAATAGATGTGCTATCTTGGTCATGTATTTGGTGGTAATAGCTAGATTTAATCATGATTTGTATGACTTTGATTATTTTCGGATGGTTGGTTCAATAATGGCGCGAATATTTAAAATTCGGTAAACTTTGACCGAGTTTTGTAATTTCCTTTTTCTTTAAAACAGTATTGTGATCATAAATCTCATTAATTGTTATCATGTCTGTATCGACTGTAATCGTCTACCTTTTTTTCATTTTTATACGTTTCTCCGTAAAATAGGTATAGTTTCTTTTCTCGTTCTTGTACCTACGAATTTTAGCCTAAAACTGTTGAAATAAGTAAATGTATACACATGTTTGCACACACACGAACACATACATATGCACACACACACACACACACACACACACACACACACACACACACACACACACACACACACACACACACACACACACACACACACACACATATATATATATATATATATATATATATATATATATATATATATATATATATATGTGTGTGTGTGTGTGTGTGTGTGTGTGTGTGTGTGTGTGTGTGTGTGTGTGTGTGTGTGTGTGTGTGTGTGTGTGTGTGTGTGTGTGTGTGTATGTATATACATATACAAATACATAAGTATATAAATAAATAAATACACACACTCATACATACGCACACACACACACACATACACACACACACACACACACACACACACACACACACACACACACACACACACACACACACAGTGTGTGTGTGCGTGTGTGTGTATGTGTGTATATGTGTTTGTCTGTGTATCCGAGAAAAATACATATTCAGGGGTATCTTTTGCAAATCCACTGAAATCAGGGTCTTCGAATGCACACTAAGTATCCCCAGAAGACCGATCATTTCAGAGAGACTGGTCCCGCCAACCAATGTCCTGTTGTTCATATCTAATGTAGCATTTCGACATTTGCCACAATGAACACTGCTCATTATAAGCCTTACTTTTTACTGATGATAGTCATAATAATGATGATAATGATATAATGATAATCATAATGTTAATAATGCTAATGATAATAAGAATGCTAATGGTAATAATAGTGATAATAATGACATTATAATAATGATAGTGATAGAATGATTGGTAATGATTGGTAATTATTATTATCATTATTATTACCATCATCATTATCATTGCTGTTGTACCCATCACTGCCATTATATCAGTTTTTTGTCATCATCATCTATAACCTTATCAATATTATTATTTTCATTACTATTATTTCCACTATCATTACTATTTTTATTAATAAAATCTGTATATACATCTTTATAATTACCATTATCATCATGTTTATTATTCTCATTATAATTGCTATTATCTTCATTACCCTTGCTATCATTATTAGCATCATTATCATTACCATCATTATCATTATTAATATTATCATTATCATTATTGCTATCATGATCACTATTATTGCTATCGTTATTACTTTTATTGTTATTATTATCATTATTTTCATTATTATCATTATCATCACTGTTGCTGTCATTATCATTATCATAATTATTATTGTTATTACTATTATCATTACCATTATCATTATTATCATTATCATCAACATTCTATTGCCAATATCACCATTGTTATTATAATTATTATTATCTACCATTATTGTTACTGTTATTATCATTGTTATCATTATATTACTATTATCATCATTGTTATCATTATATTACTATTATCATCATTTTATCATTATATTATCACATTATCATTATATTACCACATATTATCGATATTATCATTATTATTATCATCATTATCAGTGTTTTTAATGTCGAGATCGATAGTGACTCGACAATTTAAAGATTAATTTATGTATTTTTTATTCTTAAGGGCATATCAATAGAGCAAAATCATATGTTAGAATAAATTGAACAATTTATGAAAATTATCTGTAAATGGCTGGTTTGTTGAAATATTCACAATTCAATGGGAGGAAGGGTGTTAGCAGGGATATCATCACCGTTTTTCAGACAAGTCCTAGCTCTCATCTGGCAGACATGTATGTTCAGTGCCAGGTGTTAGAAATCTTGTTTTACCCGGAAATTAAAGGATGTAATGCTGGATTGTTGAATTAATATAAATTTGAATCCATATGCTTTGAACTGTCATAATCTAGACAGGTGCTGGAATTCCTGTTCATAAAGAGAGAGAGGTTAAAGAAAATTCATGTGGAGAACAGCCATGAATTTCTAGATATTTATTTTATTTATTATTTATTTATTATTTATTTATTTATTTATTTATTTATTTATTTTTTCTTTTAGAGGCGTGGATAGAACGATCGAATTAGTCGGAGACAATTCCGATTGTGCCAAGGAACGAATTGGGAAAGGAACAATAGATGAAACGAAAGGGTAGGAAAGAAGAATCTTGAGAAATTGAAG